CCATTTGGTAAAGAATCGTTGAGGCTGCTTTTAAAAGCAAAAGGATTTTACTGGCGTAAATGCCACAACAAAAGGAAATTACTAATGGAAAGACCCAGTATTTTACATTGGCGATACAAGTATCTTAGGTCTATTAAAAAGTTCCGGGAAGAAGGAAGGCATATTATTTATTTGGACGAAACTTGGGTTGATAATGACCTCACTTTCAAGAAATGCTGGCAAAGCGAAGAAATTATGGGTGTCCTGAGCAATATAAGTTCTACAGGTAATAAAGTTTCTTTCACCTCGATTTTGCTTATTATACATTTTTCTCAATTTTGGAATATTCTTAATAAGTGCTCATTTAATTTGTCTAATTGAATACATAATCCCTTGCAAGTATTTTTTTCTCAAAAATATGTTTTTTATACATAGTGATTCAAAAAGGTGTTGGCAAACTTAAAATAACACTAAAATGAGGCTATTTATTCATTTCCAGGACGACTTATAATTGTTCATGCGGGTTCGCAAGATGGTTTTGTTCCTGGAGCCTGTCTCATTTTCAAGGCTGGCTGTGCCACTGGTGATTATCACGGTCAAATGAACCAAGAAAATTTCACGAAGTGGCTTACTGAAAAACTATTTCCTAACATTCCTCCTAATAGTATTATAATAATGGATAATGCACCTTACCATTCAGCTTTGGAAGACAAGCCTCCAACTAGATCTTCTCTAAAAAGAGACATCATCACGTGGTTGAGCAAAAAAGGTATAGAGCATGATCCTAATGCTAAAAAAATGGAGCTTTATGAAATAGCTTGTCTACATAGGCCACCATCTGATGAGAAAAATTATAAGATAGATAATTTAATAAGAAGTTTCGGACACACCCCACTTCGAACGCCACCCTATATGTGTCAGTTTAATCCCATAGAGATGATTTGGGCACAAGTAAAATTTTTCATTAGAAGCCATAATACAAGCGGCGAATTTACTATAAAAAAACTAGATGAAATTTCTAATAAGGCCATCGCTTCAGTAAGTGCCAGTGACTGGCAAAAGGTTATTGGACATGTTATAAAAATTGAAGATGAATATTGGGAAAAAGACAGTCTCATTCAAGAAATACAGGAAGAAATAATAATCAACATAGGAGGTGAAAGTGATAGCAATGACAGTTCCTCAGACAGTGATCATGACTCTAATCAGGATTGAAACTATACTAGATTGGCTACCTTTTAGAATTTTTAGATATTCATTTATTATACTATTGGTTTGTGGCTTTTAGTATCTCAGTAGAAAGTCTAATTCTATGTGTTGTTTATGGGTTATTTCATCAAGAAATTACTTTTTGTTTTCCTATATTTTTCTATTCAGTCAGATATTTTTGACTTGTTGTATTCTATTTTAGAAGAATGCATAATTTGTTTTGCTGTTCAATCATAATGCGTACATAGGAATATTACTTGTTGCCTAAAAAATATATTTATTTTGTTCTCAATATTCAGTGTTTGTGTATATTTATTTCTTATAATGTATGTTTGGTATCACGTCATTATGAATCGCAAAAAAATATTAATACTACCAGTTGTAATAAAATATAAATTCAATTAATAATTCAAGTCTCTCCGATCTCCGCCTATGACTCCATATAAAATCGTCTAATGGTAAGGTTTTTTCATCGCATTTCCCCCTTTCGTCCCTAGCAATCTTTGGCTGGTCGATCAATAGATGCGCCATTACGTTTTTATCGGACCCAGCTTTAAAGCGTCATCATTTTTATTTTAATATAAATATCTGCCAAAAATGTATTAGCTCCGAAAAAAACTGCACAGTAGGCAGGAACATTCCGCTTTTAAAGAGTATACACCAGTTTTTCTATGCCAATTGTAGATTTTGTTTTGTCGGAAATTAACAGCTACAGAAACAGTACCGTGTCATGGCCTATTAACTCCATATTCCCAAAATGTTCTATTTTACTGTTAGCGACACGAAAAAAAAAAGCAGACCTTCTGATCTCGGTTATGGCATTCGGGCTCTATCATCAGGTCATTATCCGTATGCGATCTCCGTTATATCAAAAAAGTGATTGATTATAATCTGTAAAGATTGATTCGGCGGTGCGGCAGGACATTCACCTCGTCCTCATGGGCGTAGATTACGGAGAATTAAGGGCACACTTGCCCTAATTCCTGTTTTAAAGTTCCTTGTAGCACTGAATAACGTAGTAATATCCTTATGCAAATGAGTAATAAAAGCAGATTAAATGATTCTGCCAAAAATAATTGTATATCCCAAGGCAAAATTACCCCTTAACCTTTTTCGTGATCACGATACCACCGCGTGAACATGGTCTGCGCCATCGAGTGAACGCAAACTCGCTCAGCTACACACTGCCAGAATAATAATAATAATAATAACAAACGTCTTTATTAAATAATATATACCATACATGTATATATATATACATAAAGTGTAACTATAGTGGCGAAGTTTAGCAATATGCTACTCTAACACTTAACCACTAAAGTTAAATATTACGTTGTTAAGAGCTAACAGAAAAAAAATGCAAAATATATATAACAAATCACTTATAACCCATATGAGAAGTGGAAAATGACATATTTTGTGTGCACATACTGCTACTCTAACAAGGTCTATGAAATATTGAGGGAAAAGTTAATCGTTCAAATAACTCAACTTAACATTGTAGCGGAAACGTGGTAAACTCATGGTCTTAAATTTACTGTCCAAAGAATTATGTATTGCTGCAACGTTATATGAGAAACTTCGTTGGAACAGAGATGTATGCTTCGGAATTCTGATAACGTGCCTGTCTCTAATAGCTCTATTGTGAATGGTGTTATTAAAAATTATTTTTTGACATAGGTATTCTGGCTTAGACTTAATTAAAATTTTATGGATAAATTTGGAAAAATGTAACTTGACGAACTGGTCAAACTCTAGCCATCTCAACTCTGCATATTTGTGAGAGACATGGTCGAACTTTCTCATGCCGAATATAAAGCTAACACAGCTGTTTTGAATCAATTGGATTCAACAAACAATAAAATCTTAGATTTTTCCGGGTTTATGCTGAGGTTGTGATCTGCTGAATATTTGCATATACTATCAATATCTGCTTGTAATACTTGGACAGTGCTCTGTATACGTATGTTATATCTTCTATACCGAAACAATGCGAGAGCTGGGTGTCATCAGCGAACGATTGAATATCAGAGTTGTAAACTGATCTAGATAAGTCAAATGTATATACTAAAAACAAAAGAGGTCCCAAAATGGAACCCTGAGGCACTCCTGAAGGTATGCGAGTGACATCAGATGTAATACCCTTCACTGAAACACATTGAGTCCTGTTTTTAAGATAGCTTTCAAAAAATTCGATTACAACCTCATCACAACCAACAGAACGTAGCTTAGCACATAAAAGTTTATGATCTATCTTATCGAAGGCTTTAGAGTAGTCGACTGATATTAAAGCTAAACCCATTTTTTTGTCCAGAACACGAAAGATGTTGTCGCATATGTTTATTAAAGCCGATGTTGTATTATAATGTTTTCTAAATCCCGATTGAATAGGTGGGATTATCTGATGTACTTCAATGTATAAGTTGAAGTTGAACAATATTTTCAAGGATTTTTGACAAAATAGGTAGTAAACTGATTGGTCGAAGATCTGATAGGAGACCGGGTTTCAAAGTTTTTCCTATAAGTATTATCAGTGCTTGCTTCCAAATTTTAGGGAAGTAACCGGTTTCAAGACATAGATTGATAATGTGAACTAAGTGGAAAAATATAACGGGTAGGCTTACCTTTACCATAGTTAGCGTAAGACCATCTATTCCTTTGGCATCTGATTTAAGAGATTTAATAGATTGTAGAATTTCTGAAGGATCAATGATTCTGAATGAAAAAGAATCAGGTAGAAAGAAGTGACGATTTTTGTATAGGTGACATAATTCTTCCGAGGCATTATTTGTACTGTAAACTGACATAAAATAGTCATTGATTTCATTTGGATCAGATAGATTATCTGGAAAAGGGGTTTTGTCCGAGAATGTATATTAAGCTGCTTTAAGCCAATCCATACCTTTCTTTCGTCATTTTGTTCAGATAAAAATTGTAGATATGTATGCTCTTTTCTCTTTCCTCACCTGAGTAAGCGCGTGATTTCTTTTTGCTTGTAAATATTTAGGTTTTCTACAGTTTTATTTGTTTTATATGTAGTATGGGCAATAGCTCTTTCTTTAAGAACGTCACGTAGGCGGGGAGATAACCCTGGAGCAGGTAGTTTGTTTACTCTAAAACTAGTTACAGGAGCATGTTTATCATAAACTCTCATCAGTGTATCTGTTAGGAACTCAACTTTAGCATCTATATGGTTCATAAAAAATAAGTCGTCTAAATTTGCAGAAGCTAAGTCACTTAGAAAATATTCTTCGTTGAAGCACTTGAAGTTCCTTACAGTTACAAACCTTTGTTTATTTTTCAAATCAGGAATGGAGAGAGTGCACGATACCATTTTGTGGCCAGATATGCCGAGAGAATCAAGAACCAAACAGTCGGAAATAATGTCTGGTTTATTAGTAAAAACTGGATCTAATAAGGGTGCTGTGTTATTTGTCACTCTAGTAGGATCACTGACAATTTGAGAAAAACCCACCATTTGAAAGCATGTAGAAAGGACGTTGTTGCCGCTCAAAATATCAACATTCAGATCTCCAGAATACATCCAACGGCTGGCCAGAGGTGACCGGATGTAATCTTTCAGCGCGTAGCTGAGCGAAGACCGTCCGTTATGCGAAAATATCGATTATTCCTGAGATTTCCTTCTATCAATAGGACAATGATTCGACCTAAAGACGGCGTTATAAGTTGCAAGCACATTCTGTTGCGTAATAGAATTGATATCGCTTAGGGTCGAGGCGGTGATCGATTTTGGCATTGTTCCTCATCCTATTCAGGTCCTCAAATTACCTAAATGTATGTGGTACTTACCTCCTGTTCAAAAATACATTGGGCGTCAAGGGGGAACAAGGGCCTTATGGGTGTAGGTCTGCTGGTAAGGTAGTATGCGGAGGCAGCTGCAACTCCAGTAAGTGCCAGCGCCCCAGCGCCGCCACCGATATAGTGGAGGTACTGCTCCATGTCCTCCACTGAAAAAAGATTAACCGTATACATTAAGATGTCTCAAAATAATATACAGGCTGACACAAAAATGACTATACGGCTCTATATTTCAAGTTCAATTGTGACCTTGAATGAACATCACCTTCATAGTCATTTCAATGTCAACTGAGAATCCTGTTATTTTTCTTTATAAAATTTTATGTTCTTATAGAGAAGCTGTTTTGGTTGACTAGGTAAGGTGCAAAGTACAAACTTCAACATAAATTTAAAAGGCGACCTTATTGAGGACAGTGAATCAGTCAAAAACCTAGGTATCATATTTGATGAATGTCTCAAATTCATGCCACATGTGAATAATATCAGTAAGAATTGTCTTTCCATTTTACGCCATCTTTACCAAAATGAACAACTTCTTGACTAACAAACCAAAAAGTTTTATGCAACTCCCTTATCATGTCTGAAATTGCTAATTGTGGTAGAGTTTGTGTTCCATTTATAGACTCCACCTCTCTCATGCGTCTCCAAAAAATTCAAAATTCCTGTTCGATATTGACCATTAACTTAAGAAAGTATCAATCATATCAACTGTTATTTTAGAGACATGAGAGAGTAAAAGAACTATACTAAGTGACGTATAAATCCGAACACCCAGTTTAAATGGTTTCATTTTAATAAAAGTTGGTGAATGTATTTATCTTACTGTAAATAACAAGTGAAAAAATTTTCAGCCTTATCAGTTGGACATTCCTGTTTTTATACTGCTTTTTTTTAATTCACTAACGCTCTAAAAATGAATAATTCAGCCGCAGTAAAGAATCAACGTTAGCGGATTTTGGTTCTTGACATCCTTTACGATCGGTTGCGATGCCTAGAGTACGGAGACCTGTACGATTTCGTCAACTTAGTGAGTTTGATAGGGGCCGTATAGTGGGACTTCGGGAAGCTGGACTTTCTTTTCGGGCAATTGCAGTTAGAGTGCAAAGAAGTGTAGACACTGTGGTTAGGTGTTGTCAGGCATGGCTTCGAGAAGGCCGTACGCAAAGAGCAAGGGGCACTGGACGCCGCCGTAGAACAACAGACCGTAAGACCGCCGCCTAAGTTTATTGGCCTTAAGGGACCGTTTCTCCACTACCAGGTCCATTGCAAATGAATGGTTTGCAGAACACGGAAGACCTATTGGCATGCGAAGTGTTTACCGACGAATGAGAAGTTTTGGCTTGTTTTCATACCGGCCACACTGGGTCCTCCCTTTAACTCGAGAACACCGACGTAATCGCCTTGAGTGGTGCAGACAACGGTCACTCTGGGATCAGGAGTGGAACAGTATTGTCTTTAGTGACGAGTCTCGATTCTGTTTAGGCATGCACGATGGTCGTGCCAGGGTTAGAAGGCGACGTGGTGAAAGGAGGAATCCACAGTTTTTTGTTGAAAGACATGTTCATCACACTGTTGGAGTTATGGTTTGGGGTGCTATAGCTTATGGTTCCAGGTCACCTTTAATCTTCATCAGAGGTAACATGAACGCGCAGCGTTATATCCACGAAGTTCTAGAACCCCATCTTTTACCCTATCTTGACACCCTGGCAGATCCAACTTTCCAACAAGATAATGCCCGACCACATGTTGCAAGAGTCACAATAGACTTCTTTCAACATAACGATGTCACATTGTTACCATGGCCACCAAGATCTCCCGACTTATCCCCAATTGAGCACGTGTGGGATATGATGGGTAGGAGATTGCCCAATTTGCAACGTCCTCCTCAGACTCTAGAAGCACTTCGAGAGAAGTTGGTGGCTGCCTGGAATGAGATACCACAGGAGGACATTGACCACCTGATCAGAAGCATGCCTAGGCGCGTTGGAGAATGCGTAGCACATCAGGGTGCATCCACACATTATTAAAGGTCAAAGGGCTTTGAGGACCCAAATTTGACCTCATGAAGTGACCTTCATTGGACCTCTAGAGCAGACGTTGACTTCAGAGTTTAAGGGCCGTATATCAGTCCCTCCTACAATTGTAGGAGGACTTTTCGGCCTCCTTGATTTTCATAGTTTTCTACTGTTCCGTGTCAGCTCTTCATTTTGAGGTTATGTTACAAATATACTATGACATATAACTCCAAACACCCAGTTTAAATGGTTTTATTTTAATAAAATTTTGTATAAGTCCTTAATGAAGCATAACAAGTAAATGATAAAAATTTCAAAATGATTGCACCGCTTTAAAGCCCTTTGACCTTTAATAATGTGTGGATGCACCCTGATGTGTTACGCATTCTCCAAAGCGCCTAGGCATGCTTCTGATCAGGTGGTCAATGTCCTCCTGTGGTATCTCATTCCAGGCAACCACCAACTCCTCTCGAAGTGCTTCTAGAGTCTGAGGAGGACGTTGCAAATTGAGCAATCTCCTACCCATCATATCCCACACGTGCTCAATTGGGGATAAGTCGGGAGATCTTGGTGGCCATGGTAACACTGTGACATCATTATGTTGGAAAAAGTCTATTGTGACTCTTGCAACATGTGGTCGGGCATTATCTTGTTGGAAAGTTGGATCTGCCAGGGTGTCAAGATAGGGTAAAAGATGGGGTTCTAGAACTTCGTGGATATAACGCTGAAGATTAAAGGTGACCTGGAACCATAAGCTATACCAAACCATAACTCCAACAGTGTGATGAACATGTCTTTCAACAAAAAACTGTGGATTCCTCCTTTCACCACGTCGCCTTCTAACCCTGGCACGACCATCGTGCATGCCTAAACAAAATCGAGACTCGTCACTAAAGACAATACTGTTCCATTCCTGATCCCAGAGTGACAGTTGTCTGCACCACTCAAGGCGATTACGTCGGTGTTCTCGAGTTAAAGGGAGGACCCAGTGTGGCCGGTATGAAAACAAGCCAAAACTTCTCATTCGTCGGTAAACACTTCGCATGCCAATAGGTCTTCCGTGTTCTGCAAACCATTGATTTGCAATGGACCTGGTAGTGGAGAAACGGTCCCTTAAGGCCAATAATCTTAGGCAGCGATCTTCACGGTCTGTTGCTCTACGGCGGCGTCCAGTGCCCCTTGCTCTTTGCGTACGGCCTTCTCGAAGCCATGCCTTACAACACCTAACCACAGTGTCTACACTTCTTTGCACTCTAACTGCAATTGCCCGAAAAGAAAGTCCAGCTTCCCGAAGTTCCACTATACGGCCCCTATCAAACTCACTAAGTTGACAAAATCGTACAGGTCTCCGTACTCTAGGCATCGTAACCGATCGTAAAGGATGTCAAGAACCAAAATCCGCCAACGTTGATTCTTTACTGCGGCTGAAATATTCATTTTTAGAGCGTTAGTGAATTAAAAAAAAGCAGTATAAAAACCGGAATGTCCAACTGATAAGGCTGAAAATTGTTTCACTTGTTATTTACAGTAAGATAAATACATTCACCAACTTTCATTAAAATAAAACCATTTAAACTGAGTGTTCGGATTTATATGTCACTTAGTATATCTATTTGCATCAAATTGTTCATGCTTTTGATCTATATCATCTGTTGTATCAACAATTCAAAAAGCAAACATAGCATCACAATAGGAGAGCGCTGACGCTTACTCGGAACAGTAGAAATCTAGAAATACCCCAGCCTTTCTGAAGGAGCGAAAATACTATGAAAATCTAGGAGGCCATAAAGGCGTCCTACAGTGGTAGGAACGATAAGTCCCAATACCTACACAATCGGACAATATTACGAATGCCGTTGTCTAAAAAGGACTTTCCATGTAAAAAAGTTTACTTTGAAGATGAAGTTCAAGGTGAAATCGAAGAAACCGTTGACTCCTTGATCTACTTTAGTTACGGTTACTTTCAGCAACTACCCTATTTTTTAGATCTTCTACAATATACATTGCGAGTCAAAACATAACAGAATAATCTGGTAGGTTTGAATCTGGAGATCGAGCAGGCCGTAAGTGAGGTACTCCTAGACATATCGTACGATCCTCAACAAGTTACGATGAATCACCTTGTAGTTGCTAGATGTAACTCAATAAATAATGATCCTAATGTATTTGGAAGGAAACTTTATAAACGGGTGTAGAGGAAGCAAATAATACAGCACCAAAATAAATTTCCCGTATATGTCGACTTATTCTCACTAAGCCGCGGTACGGATATGAAATATTAATAGCAGCTGGTATGGATGAAAAGCAACACCTGCAATGATAAATTATCAATTCTATCGTTAGGGGCATCGGTAAGTAGGAACCCAAGCTACAACAATGAGGCATCGGTTAGCAAGAACCAAACTCGATGAAAAATTCATTGGTGGAAGTACGTCATGAATAAAACACAACACAAATCGAGACGCCTAGAGAGGTACAGTTCATGTAAAAATAGACGTGTCAAGTAGATCGACTTGGGAGCGTACACAACGCTCTTCTAGGCAAAAATGTATGGCAGAACATTGAGCTGTACAACAAGGTATAGTATATCAATCGATCTATCAACAAAATATACTTCATTGGACAAGAGTGCATTATTATTATTGACAAAAGTAGTGAATAAATTAACATATAAGTTACACAGTACGTCATCAAAGTATTCATGTAGGTTATAATAGGCTTTTTGTACAAGAATTTGGGAATGAAGAACCCGTACTCTTACCAAACACCGGCAATTTCAGAAGTACAGGTAGCTGTCAATAGTACCGGAAGGCCCATCATTTTTGGGGACTTTCGGGTCTCGTCATATTCCTAGCCATGAATCAGTCTTGAATAGAATAGTACGTAGTTAGGCTCACGCGTGGTAGGCAATATATTGCGAGCGAGAATTGGAGTTTTAAATATTCAAGCTCAGGGTTTCTCTAGAAAGATTACTTATGCTTTTTTTTAGTTTGATTCAAATACAGTGGCGTACTATTTTTATTTGGAATCCCCTGTGTCTCCGCCACTGGTGCACGTTAATTTTAAGTAAAAACTTTTGAATTTGGACAATACTTAGGTACATCCACATCCACATACCAAATTTCAGTTCATTCTAGTTGACGGTTTTGAAGATATTAAAAAAATTGTTTTTTATTTTTTTAATGAAGCCATCCAGGAAAAAAATGTTACATAGAACATTAAAATGCATTGCTGTGTATGATGTTTCATTTTTAGTCACGACTTGTGAATCACCCTGTATAAATTAAAAATAGTTTTATAGAATATGTAGAAGGATATGTACATAGTTTGTTCTAGAATTATTTGAAAAACAAGTTTGTCATATATACGAGTACTAATTGAAATCTGATGGTTTTATTTTATTTTATCCTCAAAAATATACAGGGATTTCAAAGAGCATGGATATATCAAAATATTGTGGAAAATTCGAAGGATACTATAAAAGTTTTGCAATAAGACTTAACAAACGGACGCAGGAGGGTGCATGTTACTGGATGTTGGGACATGTCCATGAGTGCATAGTAGCCGCCAGCAGCCCGTCTGTTGATTTAGTTGTGCATTCCTATTGACAGTGTAAAGTGCGGACTGTGGCATCGTGGTCCGGTGGTCAGCGAGATAAGGGCAGTCTTACGGTATAATTTTACGCGTGGTCTAAGCATAGACCAGTGCTTAGAAAAAATGACGCTTGCAATTTCACTCTGGAGGACCCTGGTAGCGACCCAGAAGACTCGTCGTTTAACTTGGTGCCGAAAATGCAGTATAACAAAGTTGTAAGGTTTGAAAAGGATTCATCTTGAGCCCACTTCGTACAGCGGTCACCAACCTGTCAGTGATCGAGTCCCAGATGCCGCCACACAAATTCCGTTCATTCTGCTACACTATTCAGACAGAATTCACACGGCCCGATCCCAGACACAGCCGCCAACGAGTCACCGACCACTGCACGAACAAACGTTTGAACGTGACCTAGGCTAAGGCGTTCAAGGTTATTTGAAGGTCATAGTTGAAGAGCGGGAAAATATAAATAAAATATCATGTCAAAGTATGTCGTTGCCAATGACCTTGACCATTATCTTTATGGGTATTTGAGGGTGTCCAGATAGTAGGGACACGACAAGATATCTCGAAAAATATATTTCATAAAATAAGATGTTATGTAATGAAGTTGGAAAGTGATATTGACTATGACCTTCAAGCTAATTTGAAGGTTAAGATATTTTTGATACTGGAAATAAAAAGAACTTTATGTTCACATTCCTGAGGTGAAAATTGCGGACAATTCTAAGTTCAAGTAAATCCTTGCCAATGTACCTGACCATGATCTCCAAGGTCATTTTAAGATCAGATAAATTTCCAGTAAACTTTTTGTGAAGGGTATAAAAAAGCGAAACATTGAAATTAATTTAAGGTTGCATAGAAATATTCGATAAAAAATATTTAGACCGCCAAGGTAACTATTGCTTTACTTTGAATATTGCATTTCTTTCTCCGAAACCAATCTCCTTCACACTCATGCAAAACGAATGACCTATACTTTAGACTACTGCCACCCGAGCAGAGCCAGTAGTAAGACAAATAAAACAGGATGCCAGCTAATCCTATTTAACTGTCGTATTTTGATGAACTTGCAGGCTTCAGCACTTTATTGTGACTATAAACACTTATCGATCATCATATAACGTGACCGGCACGCTTAGTAGGAATGATATGTTACTGCATTCACTGCAGTTGATTCAGATTATTACTATTATAGAACGCATTCGATATATACCTGCATTTATATGCAATGCATGATGCATGAAATATGCTTTCACATTATAATTAATAGACATAAATTTGTTTTTTGTTTGTGAGATTGTACTGTTAGCCGCTTCCTGGTTGAATGATAATACACCCAGCGACAAAGAAAATAGCATACCCAGCAGAAATGAGTTTACTTGAATGAAACTCATTATGGATTCGCTTGTTTCTTAAGATTCACATTGGCAAAATTCATGCAAATATGAATATGAGAAAAAGAGAATACGAAAATGATATTAGGTACTCAAATAGAACAAAAGAATATCAGTTCCTTTTTTTAACTAGAAAAACCTATACAAGACAAACAAAACATCTATTTTTCAGCATACTTTTTTCCTAAATACACAGTGCTTTTCAAAAAGGTCTCTTCAGTTCATTTTTTAAACGAACCAAGCTATCAAGTTGAAATTTATTATATTTTAGGCGTCCAGCAGGATTTTTAAATAGCACGCGAGTACCCTTTAACCCCTACAATAAGGCGCTGTCGCAAAATGCGTTATTAACTGACATTTACTGCCTATAAACTACCTCTCTACTAAAATACCTCTTTAATCCGGCCCTGTCTTAGCTATCATGTCCTGTCCATCCTGCCAAGTTTCATGCTCATATGTTAAATAGTTTTTGGAGATTTCATGACATTTTTATATATATTTGCCCGTAGCTCACCTTTATCCAGCCCTGTCGCGAAATTCGTTTCAAGCTGAAATACGTCTTGTCCCTAAAGTACATTTTATATTCATAGGTTAAATAATTTTCGAGAGAAATTTATATAAACTTAACTTTAAAAGAAATAAGTTTCTCCATAGAGATGTTCAACCCCCCTCCTTTGGAATATTCTAGGTTCTTCAGCCTCAACAGTTTTTCCCCTCAGTTCATCCCTTAGGGTCTGTACGTGCCCATTTACATTATATCAAAAGAAAAACAATCAAAACCCATATTTGTTTCTCTAGTTCGAAGAATAATGGTTCTCCCAGAGTAACTTTCACCCTCTATTTCATTCCCTTCCATTATTATTTTCTCAACAAAAGTTAGCCTATGTCCGTCTCCTAGGCTTAATCTCTATTTGTGTTTAAATGTATCAAAAATGGTTCAGCCGTTTTGACGTGAACGAACGAAACCGAACAAAAACACAAACATATATACAAATATACAGACAAACATACAACCAAACATACATACTAACATACAAACATACATACAAGCATACATACAAACATACATACAAACATACATACAAACATACATACAAACATACATACAAACATACATACAAACATACATACAAACATACATACAAACATACATACAAACATACATACAAACATACATACAAACATACATACAAACATACATACAAACATACATGCAAACATACATACAAACATACATACAAACATACATACAAACATACATGCAAACATACATGCAAACATACATACAAACATACAAACATACATACAAACATACATACAAACATACATACAAACATACATACAAACATAACAAACATACATACATACAACATACATACAAACATACATACAAACATACATACAAACATACATATACATACAAACATACAAACATACATACAAACATACATACAAACATACATACAAACATACATACAAACATACATTCAAACATACATACATACAAACAAACATACATACTAACATACAACCAAACATACAAACATACATACACATTTATACAATTAGTGAGTTACGAGTAACAGGAATTGTAGGCAGTTTCACGACATAAGCCTTTTTGAAGGAATTATATTTTGCATAGGTGCATAGCAAACTTGAATATGCGAGTATTATATGAAACCCGTACTACCAAATTATTAACGAAATTAAAAAGGTATAAATAAGGTTTCTTCAATTTCTTTATGTGAAGTCTGATGGAGTTTATCCTGAGCAAGGTCTTAGCAATGCAGAGCTGTGTGGGCATTTTGAAATTCAAAGCTTAGAGTTCAGAAGAAAAGTTTCAACTGCAATATTTCTTTCAAACTATTACTTGATTGATGGGTTGATTGACACCCTAGATATTTTAGAGCAAATCAATATTAATTTACCTCCGTTTTCCTCGCGCAATTG